CAGTGTTGTGCTTGGAAATCCAACAACCAGCATACATAGGATTTTGTTCCCGTTCCTTCTACAATCCTCTGTGTTATTAGATAACTTTCTCCAGAGGATTTTCTGACACTGGGACACAGGGCAGGGGGCTATGGAAAAGTGGGCTACTGAATCTGGAGAAAATTGGGATCCAACAGAGAGCCACTGTTGGATTCTGGTGAAAGAATTTTGTGGCAACCTGAAGACTACCCAGCTGTATGTAGCATAGGCTTTTGCAGGTCACCAGTCTCCACAGAAGTTTATATCGAATAAAATATGTTAGTCTGTAAGTTGCCAGGAGGGTTTGTCTTGTTTTCCCTGAAACAGATTTAATCAAAACATTAGAGGAATTCTAAGAGATTAATAGCAGGCTACTTCCAACATGAAAAGGCTGCATGCTGCTATGGTGTCTTTATATTCTGGAACCCCATGAAAGTGATTCATTCATCATTCTCAACTCATCATTAGGGATGGAACTTCTGTACATTTCTGGACGATAGCACCCACAAGGGTGCTGGAATTCCCCGAGACAGAATTCTGGCAGCTTTAACACACACACAAAAACCCTCTCAGGTGTTTGAAATAACTTTCAGCTCCTGAACAAATGAGAAAGCATCTGTCCTTTGTAGTTTCCTGATGGGCAACCTGTATGGACCATAATGGGCAGGGAAACTACAATACCCCTAATGCTTTGCAGTATCCAGAGAGCTTAACCCCATCCAGTCAATTTCTCCAATGTCATACAGACTCACGGCTCAGAAATGGAGCAATCTCTTCTCATTTATTCAGCAACTGTTACTTATTTCAAATGTCTGAGAGAATTGGGGTGGGCCGGCTAAAGCTGCTGTAGTACGCGTTCTCATTTATTCAGCAACTGTTACTTATTTTAAATGTCTGAGAGAATTGGGGTGAGGCGGCTAAAGCTGCTGTAGTACGCACGCTGCTGTAGTACGCGTGCGCACGCACAGAGAGAGAGAGAGAGAGAGAGAGAGAGAGAGAGAGTCCCATTCTAGCAGTTACGTGTTTCTTTCCCACAAAGCAACAACTAGTTGGAAAGTTTCATTTCTGGTTTCCAGTGGAACACAGAGGAATCTTGCCATGAAAAAGCTAGCAGGTGAATAACCCCTAAAGCCCTGTATATATTTCTACAATAGATATTCAAGGTCAACAGACAGATAACAGTTTTCAAAAGATTGCAATATGTAATTCAAAGCCTTGCCTTTCTAGCTCAGTGTACGTGTGGAGTTAGAACAATATTTGAAGGCATGCTTCCAACTGCATGAACCTATCAGGCCTTGAATTCAGTTTTGGAGTCGCTCCTTATATACCCATAAATAAAATCTGTGTTTGTGAGCAGAACTGCAGAGCCTTTTCCTCGGTGGCCCCATCTTTCTGACAAGCACTTCCACTGAAGGTTCAGCTTGCTCGCTCCTGGATTAATTTTAAGCAAGATTTAAAGACCTAGATTTTTCATTGACTTTTAACTGATGGCAGTTTACATTCTATAGATGTAACTGGTGTTGATTTAAAAAAACATTTTGTATTGAAACAATATATTAATATTACAGTGTTAGTGAATTGTGTATGATGTTATTGGGCACACTGTTCTATTTTTATATGCTATATAAAAGGAAAGAGTAACAATAGCATGTGTAAAGACATTGTTTATCAGTTAGATTTTTTGGATTAAAGTTAATTGATCTAGTTTAAATGCAACTGCAACTCAAGTAATGTTCATTTTTTTAAAAAAAATCCTGGCCATGTGACCACGGAAAGATTGTCTTCGGACAAACGCTGGCTCTATGGCTTGAAGAGCGGGATGAGCGCCACCCCATAAAGTCGGTCACGACTGGACAAAAATTGTCAAGAGGAACCTTTACCTTTACCTTTATATATAAGGAATAGCATGTGTAAATACATTGTTTATCAGTTAGATGTTTTTGGATTAAAGTTAATCGATCTAGTTTACATGCAACTACAACTCAAATAATGTTCATTTTAAAAAAAAATATTAACAAAATGTTAGATTTCTTTATTGTTTTCTAGGTTTCCCTTATAACTAAACATGCTGAATTACTACAGTATGTTAGTCATACTTCTGTTTTATGTGCTACCTTTGTACATGTCTATCTTTAAAAATTAGCCATAATCGCAGATTTCAACTGGTACATTTTTAATTAATCATTCAAGGAGTACAGAAGTGTATGTGTAAAATATTTTCAGCAAAGTGGATTGTCAATGTAAGGAAGTTTTATCAGCTTTCCCTCTGAAAGGGTATATTTTTTAGACTGTCGTGGCATGAGAGTTTTTGCTTCTAGAAGACTGTCCCCATCACATCTGCCACGTCAATCAGAGCTCAGACAGCTGTTGCCTGTCACTATCGTTTTGGTGTGTCATCATCTATCTATCAACACTAGGATTCAGCGATTTCCTCTCAGGGAGTTGGTGGCTATTGAGCACCATTCAGATTTATGCTTGTTTTCGGTGCCCTTCTACTGATAACTTACTATGCTTTTAAAAAGGGGGTACACTGAACTACAGTGGACTTAAGCATTCCTGTATGTTATGGCTCCCGAATTAGCAAGCAGCCTGTTCTTGAAGCTTTGTGCACAGAGGATTCCTGGGACTCAAGGGTGCTTCTGTAGGTTTCAATCCAGACCTCTGCTTTTGTTTCCTCTTGTAAAACCGTAGTTCCACAGTTGCTGCAAACATAGCAGCCCTTTCTTTCTGGAGCTTTACACCAGAGGTGTCAAAGCTCTCCAGATGTTATTGGATAGCTACTCCCACCAACCCTTGCCAGTGATGAGGATTCGTGGGAGTAACTACCCAACACCATCTGGTGGGCCACATGTTTCCCCATTTTTGCATTGAAGCAAACTGTGGATGAGAGCTCATGGCACAACATAGAGAAAGTACTTGTTTATTTACTATGTTTTTGACTAAACTGAGCAATCTTTCTTAGGATATGAGTTGTAGATCATTGTTGTTAATATGGCCTTAGCTCCGGGAAACACAGACAGATGTAGTATATGAACCATCAGAATAACAGCAAAACTAAATATTGAAAACTGTAGTAGCAGCTTTTTTTATTCCCTAAGAATTCAATTTATGTTTCCTCATTCGTCTTCCAAAGGTGAATTGTTCTTCCACAGAGGTGATAATGGGTAAAATCAAAGTAGGATAGCCAGTTATCCAAGCATATACATCCTATTCTTCAAAAGAAAATGGTGTGTTTGCTCTTTATCTGCCTTTAACCTGCTAATCACAAGTTCCATTATGAATTTGGCTAGAGATCTGAAATGAAATTTAAAAACATATTGGTATCTGAACCATATTTTGAAGAACAGTTTTGTAGTAAAAAAATTGTACTTAAAATTGTAACATAATGTTATTTAGCTGTACAATAACCAAGGCATTCCAAGTGTTTAATTTATGAAGGCACTTGATGTGCTTTGATTCAGTGTCAAGAGGTTTCTCAGCAAGGTCATTTTGCATAAAAGAAAAATCTAATTTCATTTATAAAGAGAAATGAAACAGTACTTGTTTTTCAACCCCTAAACCAATGCCTCTACCTCTTTGCCTTTCAAGATACTTCTCACTCAAATGCTAAATATTCTGTCTGGCATTTTTAATTTTCTTTTTTAAAAAAACCCCAAATGCTAAGATATCTAGGTTATGTGGGGTTTTTTTAATTTTAATTTTATTTTATTTTTGGCCATTGCTTGGCCCACATGAGTGCCCCCAGCACTTGATTTTGACATACCATATTCCTAGATGTTTGAAATGGAAAAAAAAACTCACTATCCATTGTTAAGTGATATTCCATATGTTATTATTATTTGAAAATACAAGACACAGCCTTTATCTGGTATTATATAACAGATACACATTTTAATCAAAAACATAGAAATATCAGTGTAATATGTATGCTGTTCTTAAGAGTCCTGAGGTGTTGTTGTTTTTTTGCAGCCCTGATGGTGTTATTTCACAGATATGCCGCTTATTATAATATGTTATACAATTCCATTGCATTTGTTCCCAATGCCGCGGTGACTGTGGCGACCACCAGATGTGTTTAATCCACAAGCAAGTTATTTCTATTGTCAGGTCTTTGTATCTTGTCCGTTTTTCCAGTTCCTTATCTTCAACTCTGCCATTCCTTGGAATTGCTGTCAAGTCTCCTCCCAACTTATGGAAATTTGGAGCATTTCCCTGACTGTGACTGGACCTCAAAGCTGTGACTTTGCCTGAGCTACCAGATTAAGTCGACTTTGGCGTGTTTTTGAGTTTTCTTCAGCTCTAGTCACTTAACTTGGATTCCCTTTCTCAACTCCTCGTTTCTGGTCCTGGACCTTGTTCGCGTCTTGAAATCTACCTGTGGCTAGGGATGGAGAGCACATCATAAAAGCAGCATCCTTTTACGAATGTATCCAGTTAATGTTGTGTGAGATTGTTAACTTAAACGTCTTTTGGTGTCTAACTTGTATTTTTTTATCTTTTTTTCCTCATTTTTGGGAGGAAACCACAAGTACTGTACTGTTTTTCCTTTTTCAAAAATTCTAGGATGCACAGGTATATTTAGGGGTTGATGAAGTCTTACAAACTGTTACAGAACTTGAATGAGATAGGAAGACAGGTGAGACTCAGAAAAATACAATGAAAATACAATTGATATTTTCAAATGGTATTTATATCCCTACTTCTGATTCAAGTTCGATCCAGATGCACAAAAAGAACTATTAGCAAGGGTCACCACTGCTCTTTTGGCTGTTTATTGCTGTGATGTTCAGTCAGGTTGGAAACAGGATGAATGATATCAGCTAAAACATGGTGTTGACTAGAATTTCTAAGAGATTACATTTTACAGTTTTCCTAGAAGGACTACAGGCTTCAAAATGCTGAACTTTTAAGCAGAAGGCTGTAACCTATAGAATTCTCTCTTCACTATTTCTCCCTCACTGTTTTTTTTTTTTACATGTAAGGTTTTTAACACTCATTGAAGGAAATCCTTCTGATATTGGAAAGCTGGAAATGCAGCGAAAAGTGAATGCAATAATTGAAAGAGAAGGAGTGGAGGGTATAGCGAAAAGGCTGAATACAACTGGACAAACGTTACAAATAATCATTGATGGGCTAACTCAACCTGAAGGTTTTGACTTCCGAACAGGTAAGACAGACCCGTCATCTCCATTTTGGCTGTTTATTTTTGTAAATTTATTAAGTCAGTGTCATTTTTTAAAAGGTAAATATTTTATTCCAAAATATGTATCTTTAAACCTATACTGCACTGACATGTTTTTAAAACTATGTCAGAACATTCAAGAACTGCAAAAGCTAGGCAATAACCAATTGCCAAACTTTAATCGGGGTGTGTGTCTGTATCAAAATTCATAAAAATCAGATTCCTCTTAAGAATGTGTTATTTGGGAAGAACAACCTTTAGACCACAGCCAAACAACCAGAAAAACCTACAACAACATTGGATCCCGGCCGTGAACACCTTCAAGAATACAATGTGTTCTTCAGTTTTTTAAAGAATGTTCAGAACCGGGAATACTGTACGATGCAATTGATTGGAATCATGCCTTCATTTGAGGGAGGAGGTTGTTATGCATCTCCCCGTACATTGCAGCATGTATGAATTTCCCATCAAACCTATTCAGACTTGCCAGTATCCAGTTGGAGCATATCTTCCCTATCCCTCTGTCCCCTAGGCCAAGACGCAAGTTGTGAGCCTCTAGAAAAGCAGCTCCTATCAAACCAGATTGATATAGTCAATGGTATTAGGACTTGCAAGCTGAAAATGTCCTTGAAGTTCACAAGTTGCCTAGTCCATCATAAGCTATAGTTAAATACATTTTAGTGAAATGTGAAGTGAGAAGTGAAGCATGCCCTTTCAAAAACGGAGACACAGTAGAAGTTTGGGCTTAATGAGCAAATTTAAGCCTCATAAACTGCCCCCCTTTTCTCTATGACATAGCCTGAAAGAGGAACATTGAAGCTTATGCTTTCCTTTCTGCTTGAACTCCCACTTGTCATTTCATCCAAACTGTGTTTAATGTTAACTATGGTTTGTTTGAAAAATCCAAGTTCAGATGACGTGTTATAAAGCCATGTTGTTATGTGCCATCAAGTCCCTTCAAACTTACAGACTATAACAGAGTTTTCAAGATAGATGAGATGTGCAAGGATGGATTACTATCACCAGACCATACCATCATTTTCCATGACCAGATGGAGATTTCATCTGAGGTTTTCTGTGTCATAGTCAGTACACTATCCACTATAATGCATTGGCTCTCTGAGGTTATGAACCAGGACTTGTTTTATAATTAGCCTGCAGTCCATGTTAACCATATTTCAGAGTTCAGGTGGCAAGTTAAACAGTCACTGATGGAAACTGGAAGCAACCATTTTTGAATTCCATGCATAACCAAGACTCACTTTGATTATGCATGGAATATAACGCTAAAATGTAGTTCAGTTGTTTAGCATCATGTTGGAACACTGATAACAAGCAACCATTTGAAAAATAAGAATCCCTGTATCTCATCCTTTTCACCTCCCCTAATCTCTAAGACAGAACAAAATAGTGTGCCATTAGTGTAAGAAAAACCCTTAAAAGTGGACCTTACGCACCACAGTTGCAACTTATGTTTACAAGCACTACTGTCGCACAGTAACACACTTCAGAAGCAATCTTTATTATAGTGAGTACATAATTTCGGAACCCGTACTCGTTCTTATTTAAAACTCAATTACCTGCTTAACAGAACATAAGAAAGTAAATGATTTTGGAGCTGCCAGCATCAGTGAAGAGAGCTAATAAAAGTAATGGAAAATATAGTATATGTGCTCCTGCAGCCAAAAGTTTTAATTGTGTAACAGACCGCACAAAATGAGTGCCTTTTTTCATGTTCAAATGTTTAATAGCCAATTATATAAATGGGGCAAATTCGGGGGTGCAAAGACATTTTGACATGCCAAAAATAGTGGGGGAGGGAGCAGCTTGCGAAACATATAAGTGGCTCTTGAGTTACTGCCTAAGCCAATATTCATTGTAACCATTACAAGCTGTTTACCTGGAATTTGCCTCTGTGTGTATGTTCGTGTGTTCATGGAAAGTGCCTGCACTACGTCGTGTAATATTGCAGGGAGCTTTACTGTTTGGGAGTTGAGTAATTAAGTTCATTTCTTCATTGGAAATGTTGATGTCATGCAGTCTGCTGCTACTACTGCTGGCCTTGACTGTGCTGCATTTTCCTCTTTCTTCCAAAAATATGAGAAACTTTACCACTTACTTCAAATCAGTTTGTCCCCCTCCCGTCTTCCCTCCCTCTCATGGATGCATACACAAATTTTTACTATGCAAGGTGTGGGCTAGGAAAAGAGAAATCTCATATTCAAAAAACAAAAATAACGAAGAAAAGAAAAGAAAAGAGTATGTAGTACAGTGGTGCCTCGCTTAACGACGATAATCCATTCCAGGAAAATCGCCATTAAGCGAAAACATCGTAAAGCGAAATAAAAAACCCCATTGAAATGCAAAAAGATTGTCGTAAAGTGGATTCATCGTAATGCGGGGCAATCATAAAGTGAGGCACCACTGTACTTTTGACCCAAATCACCAGGTTCCCCCAAAATATTGAAAAAACTTGCTACCATTTTATTTGCAGATATCAACATTCTGTAACTGGCTGGTCAACAAATGGGACTCATGCCCCTTCAAGTCAATTCTATAGTCCCCATTCCTTGAAATGATTTTGATGATACAAATCAGCTAGTTCAGCTCCCACTGGGCTTGGGGTCCAGATGACACATGGTTCATCAGTCCCCAAGAATCTTCGAACTGTGTTAAGTATACCATGGAATTTGCTCATAAAAGTGAGAAGAAACCAAAATGGCATCTTCAGGCTGTTATAGTTCTTGGAATCCCAGCCATGCACAATATCCCACACTGTCTTTATTCTGCCTTTTGAAAAAATATTATTTACCAAACGTTTGGCCCAAAATCTGGGGGGAGGGGAACATGCTATCTACAAAATGACCCCATTATTTGCTACATAAATATTCTGTATTCATATTTGAATGCTTATTTGGATACCAAAACATAAGGAACTGCTGACTTTCTCTCCTTCCCAACTAGTGGTGAACAAAATGCCCCCTTCCAGATAATGTTGGACTGCAACTTCCAGCATTCCTTCCTATTGATTTTGCTGGTGAGAACTGATGGGAGATGCCGCCCAAGACTATTTCGATGGCTGCCACTTGTTCACTTTGTTCTACAATGTTGGCAGAAGCTCCTCAGAGATATTTCACCGGAGCCTTCTAATCAGATGTTCCAAAGATAGAACATGGTCCCTTTTGAACACCAAACCTTTGCTTTACGATTGAAGTGGGAACCCCCACCACAAAGATATAAGATCCATATAAGGCACAAACAGATAGCAGCAGAGAACAGTGTGCACAGAAGCTGCATTCTGCTATCTGTTGTTGTACCCACAGAGTGCTTCTTAAAAACTAAGAAACTACTGGTTATATTTAACACTGCTGTCCTGAAGATGTTCCTTTACTGGGGAACAGCATTTGCTCAGTTCTGATCATCAGCCACATTGACAGAGACTCTCTGTCTTGTAGCTGCTGTGCATTTACGGCACAAGTAACTAGGCCTATTGTGTTCAGTCGGGCCTCTTTCAGAGAAGTGTATTTAGAATTGTAGCCTCAAGGAATCTTTTATTTTGGAAATGTATCCATACAGCAACTCTAATGAACCAAAATTCAGTTCAGTTCTGAATGTATGGGATATGAATATGTGTGTGTTCATTTGTTTATAATATCAGCAGAGATCTTTGGCTGGATTGCATGTTTATATAGACCGCAAACATGCAAATATAATTTTGATTATACAGCTGTAATATAAACCATCTACCCTGTTTCCCCCAAAATAAGACCTCACCTGAAAGTAAGCCCAAGTACGATTTTTCAGGATGCTCGTAATATACCCCCAAAATGAGCCCTATTAAGTGAAACCCTGCCCTCCACCATTGTGCAGCAACCAGAAGATGACATGACTGTAAAATAAAACATCCCCTGAAAATAAGCCCTAATACTTTTTTACGGAAAAATTAACTCTATGCTATGGGAAAACACGTTTCACTTAACGATGTTTTCCCATAACGATGTTTTTTTTGGAACCAATTAACCTCGCTATGCGAGGCACCACTGTATAGCTAAACAACCAAAAGCCTGCCATGTTTTTTTTTTACAGGTCTCACCAGTTCTGCAGTGCTTAGCTTAACATATAATGCAAACCACTTTCAGCACCCAATCAAAAGGTTAACAAAACAGCAGTTGACTGCTGAAAGGGTCTGCAGACTTTCTGTCCTTTCACATCAGCCTTCCATATCTGCCACAGAGGATTTGAGCCACTGCAGAGGAGTTAACAACATCGTTTAGGGTTATGTGTTCAGTATTTACTAGGGGACAAAACCCTTCCAGTTTAGGAAAAAGATGTGTTCTTGGCGGAGAATTGTGAGATTATTAATGGTGTCAAGAAAGAGGATAGGAAGAATTCCCCCCTCTAAAAAAACTATAACCATGGATCATGCAATGAAGCTCTTGAATGCTTCCAGTGAGCGATCCAACTATTTGTCAGATCTGCTTTGATTTGGTTTCCTACCTTGAGCAGGGAGTTGGACGTGATGACCTTATAGTCCTCTCCCAGCTCCTTTATTCTGTGATTCTATGATAGACAATTCCAGGGGTCTTAAAAGGAAGTACAGTACTTCCAAGTTGACGACCAGCATAGGTAGGGATTAGATATACTTATGGAGATCAATGACTACTAGTCATTCCAATGGTGAATCATGTCCAGTATCAGGGGCAGCATGCCTTTGAATGCTAGGTGTTTAGAGATGAGGAGGAAGGCCTATAGTGGTGCTCATGCCACACTTGTTAACTTCCCAGAAGCACCTGATTCATCACTGGGAAAAGACAGGATTCATTAAGCCTTTGGTCTGATCGCTTACAATGTTTCTTACATTCTTAATGCTATCCACGCTGAAGGGTTGCCTTGAAAAGCACCCACTGTTCCCCAACAGAAGTGGTGAGTGTGTTAATGTTCAACTTGTATTTTCTTGGAATGTAATTGCTTTGTAATGTCTTGCATTCTTTAGGAAATGGTGAGCAATCATTTTGAGGGGATGCTGAGTGAAACTTCTGATTATTTGTGTAAAACCAAGCAACAGACACGTGTGGTTTGACCATAGTGCAACTTGGACTCTTCTCTATAACACTTTGCTTTGCCCTCATGAGTTGTGTTTTAATTTTTTTTACCCGCCCTGTATTGCAGATTTTGATAAACCTGATTTCAAGAGGAGTATTGTTTGTCTTGAAGACTTGAGAGTCGGAATGGTTCTTACGGGAAGAGTTGAGAATGCTACTCTCTTTGGAGTTTTTGTCGACATTGGAGTTGGCAGAGGAGGGCTGATTCCAATTCGGAGCATAACTGAAGACAAGCTGTCAAAAGCAAAGAAGAGAAGGAGCCTTGGCCTAGGCCCAGGAGAAAAAGTAGAAGTCAGAGTGCTTAAAATTGACATCCCACAGTCTAGGATAACATTGGACCTTATACGGGTGTTGTGAGCTATTTAATTTAAGGGCTATCTGCACCGTGATTAGTAGAATACAATGGGATACCAGCTCAGATTCATGGCATGCTCTTATTTCTGCTGGAACATGTTGGGCTACCTAGAACCTCAGAGAATCAGACCAAAAATTACAGTGGGTGACTCCAGCAAATCTTTTTTATTAATCAAGTTTTTCATTGTATCATCCAGAAATTGTTAGTTTTTAAGGATTTCCCCTAGCTTTCATTTCCATACATGTGTGTTTCAGATGCAGCCATGTAATGTTGGGGAAAGCATGTTGGGATAATTAAGCAGCTGTTAGACACGGGCTGTTCGGAGCTCCAGAAATTGATTAGTAGGTTCCAAATGTTGCTCCTGATAATGCTGTCGTTATGAAGATTTATGTCTTTGGCTGTTTCCCCATTACTGTGCTCTGAGCCAGCCCTGTATTCCTGTTAACGTTCTGTAGAAATGTAAAAAGAGCAAAGACTCTTTCTGTTCTAAATACATGTGAGTGAAAATATAATATCAAAATATTATATTCTTATTATAAGAAACATGGATCTGAGCCATACTACTTTTAGATGGAGAGCCACTTGTCTGAATGCTTTTCCATATTAAATGGAGGTGTGAGAAGCTGTGTCCCGTCATAACTCACTGCTGATCAAGTTAAGTAGGGTTGATGGGACTGGAGTCCAGCAACATCTGGATTGGCAACATGGCTCCCATGTTTGATATAAAACATTCCCTACATGTACAGAACTAGATATTAATGAAAAATATTCTAAACACTCACTCTTCACCTTGACTAACTAGGACTTAGTCCTAGCTACTTCTAATGAAACGGGTTGTTTTGTTTGTATGCTGCAACATCCAAACATACCCACACACCTATAGTATAATTTGATGTAGTCCAAGCACAGGTTTATTATCCAGTGAGTTACTCTGATTGTGGCTTGACTTATACCCATGTTCTTTATAGAATAATATTTTGAAGTGATCACTCACCTCTTTGTTATAGCTAACGTCTGCTGTTTGTGGGGGTTCAGCTCATTTCTAGGTAATGATGGCTCCATGGATTTGTTTTCGTGATATTTGTTTTAAGAGTGTTAAGTGGTTTTGTTTGTTTTGCCAGCTTAAAATCTTTTTTTAAAATAAATAACATGAGAACTGTTGAGGTCCAAAAAAACAAGAAGAACTGTATTGTAGCAACTTTTTTTAAAAAAAGGAGAGAATTTTTTTTTTTTACTCCAGGATAGGTGCAGATTTTTTTAAAAATTATTTGAGCTAGAGAATATGGTTGTATTCAATTATCTTCTGAAACACAACAAGGAAATGTTTAAGGGGGAAATTGTCCAATGATTTCTTTAAAAACACTTTTATTAAAAGAAAAAAGAATACACTTTATTCTTTGTCTGAGTTTTTTAAAAAAATACCTACTGACACTTGATTGCAACATGCGGCCGATTTTTCTGTGAAAATGTTTTAGCAAGCAAGTTTCCTTAATGACAAAAGCCGCTTATTGAGAAAAAATGGGACCAAGGCTTTAGTTCCCCATCCTACCAGTAAGTATGCTGCTATAACCACTACTCCATCACTATTCACTCTGAAGATCATTTCTTTTTCTCTTAAGCATCAATTAAGGCCTAGGAGCTGCCAGTTGCTGACCCTGTTCTGGTAACTGCTGAATAGCATGTTAGTATGTTTTAATCTGGCAAGGGACTGAATGTGGAGAATTCTGATTCAAGAAGAATATTAGCTCCTTCTCAAACTGGGAGGAGGTAACAAGTGGGGTACTTCAAGGCTTGGTCCTAGGCACAGTTCTCTTTGACTTGGATGAGGGAGTGCAGGAATGACTTGGATGAGAGAGTGCAGGAATAATCAGATTTGCAGATCACACAAAATAATTAATAACTTGGAAGACAAGAACAAAATTCAAAAAGGTCTTGATAGGCTCGAACACTGAGCTGAAAACAACAGAATGAAATTTAACAGAGAGAGGTGCAAGGTTCTACACCTAGGAAAAACCCAACACACAGTTACTAGATGGGGGATACTTGGCTCAGTATTATTACGAGTGAGAAGGACCTCAGAATTGTTGTAGAACACAAGCTGAATATGAGCCTCTTGTCTTAGACACATGTCAATATAAATGTGTTTATTCTATTAAATTCAAGCACCGAATTAATTGTTTTGTTAAACTGAGTGGCAGTCCTAATTTCACTCGGTGTTTGGGCTCTTAGCTGGAGTTAATCATGGTTAAACAATTCTGGCACACGTTGCTGTTGGTACCAGGCTAATTCATCAGAAGAGACAGCAAAATAATGACAAAAACATTCATTACTGTTAAGTCATTAAATCCTCCCAAACACAACACGTGCACAAGTCTAGAACTAATGAAAGGTGTAATAAATGGGATCTAAGTACTAAAGAGGCTGTTTTAAACAGCATTGTCTTGTGAAAATGAACTTCTAAATGAACTGGGACGACTGCCAAAACTATCTGTTCCACAGGAAGAAAGGTATAAATTATTTTGCACTCCATCTTTATACATTTTGGAGATAGGCCATTTAGATTAATTTTGTGGTCATGATTAGCAGGGTGGTGTGAAAAGCGTACTGCCAGTGTTGAAGAGTAATAAAAACTGGTTTTGCTAGTCCTTTACTCTTTCATGGCTAATGGAAAGCTGCACCTGGAAACACATGATTTGTTTTATAAGAGGACAGGTGAGTTCCTTATAATTTATGCCAGCAATAAAACATATAAAATACAGCACAGAAATTTGTATTTGAACCATAACCCAGATGATTAACGTCTCATCTAAGAACCCTCAACTTACTACATTCCATAATGGATGGGTGCAAAATTAATAACTCGTTTCCTCAAAAGTAGACTTTCTGTTTTCAGCATGACGCATAAGTCCAACCCTTTCTCTTAGGTGAAGCTGTTACTAGAAAGGTTTTCAGTGGAAAACGTCTGGCATGATTCTTGAGAGAGGCTACCACAGAAAGACTGCTGAGCAAAAATAGCAAAACGAACCAGAATCTGAACATATGATAAAACTTTTTTGGGGGGGGTGCAGTTTGATCTGCTAATAAGGCTCAGAACCTGGGAGAAAGGTAGGGAATACCTCTTAAAAGGAAATAATATAATGCATCAAAGCCTTTGTTTAAAACCAGATTTTGAAAATCACACATTCTACATTTTTGTAAAGACAGGAATATTTGAGCTGTCTTTCTTGCATAAGTTGTTTTTTATTTTACACCTTTTCATCTGCATTTTTTCCTGCATCCTACCTATGTTTGGACACAACTTTCCTAAATACACATTTTGGACACTGAGATTGCAGAATTTGGAGCAGTATAGAAACTAAAAAAGAGCCACATTCCAGTCTGCATTTTAGATTGGCAAATGTTCTTCCCTTGATATGATCTGCTGGATAGCTGAGAGGTTTAGGTATCTAATTGCAGAGGCAGAGTTTTGGAGTTCAATTCCTCACTGCCTCCTTGACCAGGGCTGGACTCGATGATCCACAGGGTCCCCTCCAGCTGCGCAGTTTTGAGATTACTAAAATGCATGGACTAAACATTAGTCTACATCTTCACTCCTGATGATATCCATATGATGTCCCAGTAAATATTACTGGGCAGAGAAGGAGGGAGAGAGAAAGAAAGTTGAACTCTTTTTGTGGTGCAGTGGTTAAAGTGCTGTACTGCAGCCAAAACTCTGCTCACGACCCAGGGTTCAATCCCAGGTAGCCAGCTTGAGGTTCACTCAGCCTTCTATCCTTCCGAGGTTAGTAAAATGAGTACCCAGCTCGCTAGGGAGGCAATGTGTAGCCTGCATAATTACCATAGTTTGTAAACTGCCCAGAACTTGACCTCCTTCTTCCCTCTTTACTGTTTCTGTTTTGCACTCTATGTAATGTATTGTAGCGTTTTTACTAATTAGAATTGTTTATTTATATTGCTACTGTATTTTATTGTTGTTAGCCGCCTAGAGTAGTCCTCACCGACCAGATAGGCGGGGTATAAATTAAATAAATAATAATAATAATAATTGCTGGGGGGTTCCAGGAGCTGTGGTTCAAGAGGGAGTCCTGGTCCTGCTCACAGAGGAAAAATATGTCTAGTCGGACACAGAATCATCTTTCATAGGTGAACAGATCTTGTGACATACATTTAATATTCCTTGACCGCATCACCTGATGTTATCCTCAATGGACTTCTTTTTTTCCTTGAATTAGGTCATCAGTTGGCTAAAAATGAGCCGGCTGGAGCTAAATTCAGCTAACAAAGGGGAGCAGAGCAGAGAAAAATGTGTATTTTTGATGACTTGCACAATAAAATATCATTTCCACTAGTATGTCTTGGTGAACCTATGGTAACTGTAAGTACTCTTGAGATTCTTGCACAGTTGACTCTCCTGTCTAATAATCTACAGCTGCTAAAAGCACTTTCCAATACGATGGGGAACAAACTGCAGCCCATCCTGAGCAGAAGCAGAAGCAGCCCCAGCAAAGTCTCTGTTCTTGACTAGGCTTGCTTTATTTGACATGTGCTTTGTCCAGGAAGAAAGCTACTCCAAATGAAGGGACTTGGACTCAAAAATGTCTGCAGCATTTGTTCCAGAGCAAGGGTAAACCTGCATCGCAGTATGTTAGGATAATGGCATAGCAGAGCAGGTGCAACTATAACACAGGGGCCAATATCCTCCTGTCTTAACAAAGAGCAGAAGGGCAATCACTGAAGAGCCCCTTCCCAACAAACGATGTCACATAACCATCTCAGAAGCAAGATAAGAATGGACATGTGACCAGGTGTTTACTGGAGCTGCAAGGAAAGGGAGAGATGTTTATGTGGTTGCAATAGGTTGTTGGCCAGTGTGTCTATGTACACATTAAAGCAATACATAAATCTAAGTTTCCGGGGAGAGGTGTCCCCTTGTCCTCACCATTGACACAAATGCCTTGATAGCAGCTGCACCTTTCCTGTGGAAATACCGGCCTGGGTTCTATGTATGGAACTGCTATTGTGTGAGTTGGGAAGCGACAACCTGGCTTTCTGAAAATCCCAGAACGTAAAAAGAGCCTTGCTAGATCAGACCAAGAGGCCTATTACTTCAGCAGTATTATTTTGAGTGGTGGCCACTTAATGGATTTTGTTTAACACTGGGCATTTGTGAAGAGCACACTTTTTACCTGCTACTAACATTAAAGTTTTCTCCATTCCTCAGAGTCCTTGAGGCCACCCTTTCCCTCCTGTTTTTTTTTTTCCTTTGCTATCTGCTTTTCCTCCATTTCTTGCCCTCCAAAGAAACAGATGTGTAGAGATGTTGCTGTATTCTCTCTCCTTCACACACAGAAACACACTGTAGTAACAAAGCCATGATCTGTAAATAGAGGGGTGGGGTTTTTGTTTGTTTCCTTTAACCAAGAAGCATTCAGAGTGATCATTTTTTATTTTCCATGGGAAGGAGGGAGACTGGGCACACCTCTACACATTTTCCTCTGGCCTGAAAATGGAATAACCCAGCTCCCAAGTCCCTCAGACAGCTTCTGGGAAACTAGCAAACAATAATCCTTTCTCATTCCTGTTCCCCACCAACTGGCATAGAATAATGGAGCTGATTTCATTATGGACTTCATCTCCCAGCAGCCAATGTAGATACAGGGGCAAAAGTCTGGCAATTCTGACTGTAAAAAAAAGGGGGGGAGGGAAATTTTGTAGTTCTGATTCACATGCACGCTACCTCAGAACAGCATCTAGACAAGTTTATTTATTTGTTTTATTTTTTTGGCCACTTTTCTCCCAAATAAGAGGACCCCAAGGTGGCTCACAATAATAAAAAGAACAGAATTAAAAACAAGTCAAACATTAAAAAACAATTAAACTGTATTCTAATTAAAATACAACTGAATAATTAAAAGCAAGTGAACATTAAAAACCATCTTTGCTTTAAAATGGCGTTCAGGGACTCTGTCATGATTGCTAAAAGCTTGCCTGAAAAGATGGGTCTTGAGCTGTCAGCAGAAGGATATAAGGGAGGGGGCCGGCCTGATCTCCCAAGGGAGAGCATTCCATAACTTGGGAGCTACCACAGAGAAGGCCATTTCTCGTGTCCCCATCAGCCATGCCTGCGCTGACAATGAGACTCAGAGGAGTGCCTCCTTGTTTCTGCCCCAGCGCCA